ATTCTTATGACACTCTTTAATAAAAATATCTTTAATTAGTGGGCTTATGTAGGGCCAGCCAAAAGAGCCTGCCCTTTCAACAAGAGCAATCAAGGTGGGAGTGGGGACCCCCATCCATTCCCGGGACTGCAGCCAGAGTCCAATCAGCCTGGGTCTAAGTCCAAGAGAATGCTCTGGGACTCCGCATCACCAGGTGGTTAAGAACTCAGGCTTTTGTGTCTGTAAGACCTAGTACCATACCTTCCACTTACCAGCTATGTAATTCTGCACAGGTTACTTAACTTCTCTGTGCTTCAATATCCTCACCTGCAATATGGGAATAATAATATCTTCTTCCTAAGAAATAAGGGTTGAATAAGCTAAAGAGCTGGGCACAGTGCCTGGCACATAGTTTGCTGGACAAATGGTAGGTACTGTCAGCGGAGTGGTGGCAAACTGCGCCATTCCAAGGTCCAGGGCCTTGATAAAGAAAAGATCGTGATGGAACATGATGGGACATCAAAGAAAGAAAGACGAGGAGGGAAGAGATCCTCCTATGTCTGTTGGGGATGCCACTCCTCCTCTGTCCTCCCTGTAAAGGCCGCTGCTGCCTCTTTGGGCAGGAGAACTAGGAAAACTGAGTCAGGCATCTTCGCATCCTGATGGCTTCCACCCTCTCCCTGGGTAGATGACCCCTAAATGTTTTAACCTTCCTGCCAGGCCATGTCAGGTCCCTGGAACTGGGTGGAGGAAAGGCTGCCCCTGTCTGTCCTCCCTATGCCATCCCCAGAGCAGAAAGAGGTGGGTCTTGTAGGGACTCCATGAGCAAGTGCTAAGCTCTGGTGTCTAACCAGTGGGGCTTCGTGGATCCCTCTCCCCCAGGTGATGGCGGAGGATGAAGCTCTGTCCCCCATGTAGCACCATGATAACAAACCATAAGCCTCCCTCAACCCTTCCCTAGTAGGTGGGCCCCTAGTGGGGCCTAGGGTTACTACAGGTTGCAGAACTTTTTGTTAAGTTTATAGGTTTTAAAAGGTCAGGCTCTTGGGTGGTAAAAGTTTTACAGACCAGTAAAAATTTACTGGAGAAGGTGAGAAACACAGCTGTAATGGAAGGGCTGGAGCCAGGAGTCTAGAGGATCTCAGCTCCCTCCGTAACTAACTGTGGGAATGGAGGCAAGTCATGGAGTCTCTCTGGGCTCTTGTGTTTTAACCTGGAAAATGAAAGCAACAAAGGTGATAAGGGGTATGACCCTGTGGGACAGGATCCCGGATGGGTGGAAAGCTCCAGGTCCCTGTGCAGTACAGTCCTCCTCCCTGAGGTGCTGGGAGCAGCTGGCACGGAGGGAAGGCCCAGGCCTGCAGGTCCTGCAGTCTCAGAGCTTTTCATTACTCACGCTGGACCGCTGCCATCTGCGTGTCTGCCTCCACTCCCTGGGAGGAGCCTGGCCGTCTGAAGGCCGAGCTCAGGAATCAAATTAGCCAGGCCTCCACTTTTCCCTCATCCCCACCAGCCAAGGAGAGTTCATCAAGGCCTCGCACTAATTCTTATCTCGTTTAAAAGGGGCAAAAGTGACTCCACAGTTTCATCGGAGGCAATTTACACCCCGCCACTGGCCAAGGCCCCAACTCCGCCCCCTCCTCTCTTGTGCCATCAAATCCATTAATAGGAAATTTCTTCAGGGGAAACTTGATTGCTGCTCCATCAGAGAGGCGCACAGGCAATACATCTCCAGCCAAGGCTGTGCCTGCCCGGCTCGCTCTAATCCTGTTACCTAAGAGGCTAATTCCCTGAGGCACACACTGTGCCGAAGACATCCTCTTCCCTCCCTAACACAATTGGGCAGTCCCAGAGGATTCCAGGAGCTCCCAGAAATGAAGGCCTAGGGACTACGGCACAGGGTCTCCAGGCTTTCTCACTGCCCCCTAGGTGGGTTGCGGCACACACCGGTGGCTGGCACTCCACTCCACAGTGTGGAGAGCCCACTTTCCAGAGTCCCAGGTGGGGAGGGGTCAGCCGCATTCAGGCCATCCTGGCTTCATAGCTCAGCCTCCTCCTGCCGCCTTGCCTCATCCTTCCTCCTCCTCTTCTTTTCTTCCTTCTCTTTTCCTCTCCACTCTGCTCCTCTTCTTGTCTTTTACTCCGATCTTCCTCTCCCTTCTTAGTTTCTTACCAATTTTTCCTTCTTTTCTTCCTTTTATTTTTTGCTTCTCTCCCTTCTTCTCCTCCACAACCCCCACTCTCCCACCCCACCCTCCCTCACCTTTTCTGTAGTTTTAGCTTCCGTTTCTTTTCATCTTCTTCTTGCCCCTTTCCCTCCTGATTTGACTCTGCCCCTTTCAGAACAAGTTCAATGCCTGGTGCTTCCTCCTGGCTCTCTGTGTCCAGGTGGCTCAGCTCAGTGGAAGGAATGGGCCCCAGGTACCCAGCTCGGCTTGGAGCAAGAGATGGGGAGGGCCTCGTGGATGGACACAGGGAGCCCCAAGGAGTACAAATGGGGCATTTGGGGGCAGTGGTTAGGGTTCTGTGATGGAGCACTTAAGTGTCTGTTTTGTTTTGTTTTGTTTTGCTGAGGAGGATTCAGCCTTAGCTAACATCCATGCCAATCTTCCTCTATTTTTTAGTATGTGGGCCACCAGCATGGCATGGCCACTAACCCAGCAATGTAGGTCCACACTGGGGACCAAACTCCAGCTGCAAAAGCGGAGCATGTGAACTTAACCATTAGGCCACCAGAGCTGGCCCAGTGCCTGTTTGTTTCTAATGATGAAACAGCTATAATGGAGCTATAAAGTGAGTTTGCTCACTTGTGACTGCTAAGGCAAATCCTGGCCATGGCCATAAGGAGGGACCCCATCAATGAAAGGTATAATGCTCTATGCAGATTTCATAATGGACATAAACAAGAGGAGAATCCTTCTAGAAAATTGCAGCCAATTTCTAAGTGGTAATGGCCATAAATGGAGGGGAGCACGAGCCCAGGAATCTTTATCACTCCAGATGTTGGACTCGAGAATGCATTTAGGAGTCCACAAGTGCTCCTTGTGAGTCTGAGCCCCTTCAAGACCTCAGCCTGGAGGCCCGAGGGCAGCCTAGCTCTTCCTGCCTTGCCTTGTCCTGCTGTCAAGGCTGGAGTCTGAGTACATTCATTCTGGGGGGTGTGGCTCTTTAAATTCCCTAGAAGTTTGGGGCTGCCTATTTTCTCCTATTCTACCACTTGTCCTCGTCTCCATTCCTCCAAAAGCAATTCTTGGAGATGATTTTCCTTGTCTTTCTGGATTACGCAGGAGGAAGCACGTGACTTGAGAAAAGGGTATCCCGACCTCCTCAAGCTTGACTGAACATTTCAGGGCCAACTCTGCCCAAGGGCCTACGAAGGGGCTCCATCAGGAGCCATGGACGCCATATGCAGATTTCATCATGCACACGAATGAGAGGAAAATCCAGACACAACCCAAAGGGCTCACCCCTGACTGAGGTGATTTTTTTTTTTTACTACAATTCAGAAAATTCCTCCTTCCTACAGTGTTCTCAGCTTATTCCACATTTAAATGCAGCTGGAAAGGGATTAAAAAGAAAGAAAATGTTCTGTTGTTGAAGCTTGCTATGATTTGATACAGATGCCTCTTGCCTTTAACTCTCGAGGTAGAAACGCCCACGTCTACCTACACAGGGAGGTGGGGCCGGGATTCCCTCCAACAGAAATTCACAGCAATTCTTTTCTCAGGGAATTTTGGTGGCACACGATTGGGCATCTGAGGGATAGATACTTGCCTATGTGACTTACAACAAAAACAGAAACTCCTCTTTTAAGAAAATTTTTTTTTTATATTATTTTATTGAGGTCATATTGGCTTCTAAATTGTGTAATTTCAGGTGTACATTATTATATTTCAGTTTCTGTATAGACTGCATCGTGTTCACCACCAATAGTCTAGTTTTTATCCACCACCATACACATGTGCCCCTTTTCCCCTCTCACCCTCTCCCAACGCTTTTCCCCCTGTAACCACCAAGTTGTTCTCCTTATCTATGTGTTGTTTATCTTCCACATATGAGTGAAATCATACAGTATTTGTCTTTCTTTGTCTGACTTAAGGAAAACAACATTTAATAGGAAAATGTTGAGCATGCTCATGAAATGATATTAAGCAAACAAAGACTCTGGATACAAAATCATATGTATGGCATATTAACTTCATTGTATACATATTACAGAAGAAAATGATAGAAGAATATACCCCAAAATATTAACAGTGTCTGTCTCTGGGCAGTAAGCCTATGGATGATTTTAATTTTTCTTCATATTTTTCTACAGTGAGCATGTATTACTATTATATTTTTATAACATGCATTTATCATGGATATTTAAAATACATAAATATATAGACAGAGTATAAAATTATGTATATATAACTACTTAAATATTTAACTGTGTCTATCTAGATGATGACACAAGGGCAGACATGTGGTGCCCCCAGGTCCCCTTCCTCTGTCTGCAGAGATGCACAGTCACTAGCTAGAGGCACTGTGTCACCCTGGGGAGTGAGGGAGTGGCCCTCCTGCCCCTCCTACCTCACCCCACCTGCCCCAGCCCAGTGCAGCTGAAACTTATTTGTCATGGGACAGAAATAAAGCCAGCAGCCTGGAGCACCTCCCAGCAGGCAGGCTGCACCCTTGCTCCCGGGGCTCCTGCAGCCCCCTGTCCCCAAGCTACTCCTTGGAGAACTTAGCCAGGCCACCTGGATGAACGGGTGGACTGAGCTCCTGCTGCATGACATCAGCTGGGCGGGCTCCCATCTCACTGGTCCCCTCCCATCCCTCCCACCCTGAAACCTGATCTGTCTGAAGGACTGAGTGCAGGAAAACTTGGCGGTTTCCCAGCCCTGGTGGCCCAGGCAGTGTGACACTGCGGCCTCAGAAGTTGCTGGGAGCACTGGGGAGATGCAGCTGGCTGGGACGTGAGGCTGGCAGAGTGCAAGCAGGCTGGTTCTCCGAGGGACTCACTCTGAAGGTGGCTCTGAGGCACCCCCACACCGCGGGAAGCTCACCATGCTGCTGTGGGTGCCACGGGCGCTGCTCGCCTTACTTCTGCCCATGCTCCTGGCACAGGGAGAAGGTAAGGGGACGATGCGAAAACACGCAGGACTTGGCGGGCCATCTCAGAGGTGGGGTAGGAGACACCTGATTCCTCCAAGGGTTGAGGGAAGGGGGATTTATGGAGTGGGTGCTGCTGCAGGAAAGTCAGGGGTCTCCCACAGAGGAGCACGAGAGAACTTTAAGGCACTGTGGTCCAGCTAGAAAACTGGGGACGCTGGGTGCCTGGGGAGAGCAGAGGAGCAGAGCAGCAGCCTGCTGTATCAGAAATGCTAGACGGGTACAGGAGAGGGGCTTCCCTCCTCTTTGCCCCTAAACTATCGAATAGCAGCTGCAAGGGACTTTCAAGCTCATTTGGTCCACCGCTTCTTGTTATAAATGGGAACGCTGTGGTCCAGAGTGGGGGAGTAATTCACACAAAGACACACAGCTCATTAGAGCAGAGTGGAGACCAGAACTGTAGTGGTCCCGTTGCATGGGCTCTCAGAGCCTTCATTTGCTAAAGTTCCCTCCCGGGACTAACTCCAATAACACCAAACTTCACTCTGCATTCCCTCCACCCAGCCTTTCCTGCCTCGTGTGGATATAGAGCGTTTTAGTCCCAAAAGGATCCATTTCCTTTGGCTGCAGACAATATTCATTCTCGGTTTGGGAAGGTTTTCTCTCCATCCAGAGCTGGTTGAAGCTGGGGCTGGGGTGCAGTTAGGATGTAATGCAGGGGCTGGACACACATGAAGGGCTCACAGGCATAGTGGTTTTCTTCCCTGTGAGCTGTCATTGGAGAAACGCAGGGGGACAGGCAGGCCCAGGCTGCCCATTATGACTGTGGCCTGGGGAGAAGACCCCCAGGCTTGGCTGAGGAGAAGCTCTGTCCCTCCCAGCAATGGCTCTTTGCTCTAAAGCCCACAAGGCCCAGTCTGGTTCCCTCCAAACCGGTCAGAGTCCCAGACAACAGGATCTGGGCCGTTGCTGGTGTCATGAAGACAGACAGGGATCTGGGTTTGAATCTCAGTTCCTCCACCTGCAGGGCACAGTACTCACCTCTCAGAGGACAGAAGTGAGTAGTATGTCAACTGATATTATTCCAGAGGAGACACTCAGTAAATGGTCTCCTGTCTTCCCTCTCTGCTTTTCTCTGTCCTGAGGGAAGCTGAAAGTTTATCAGGGCTACGCGGTGAGGGGCAGGAAGGAGAGTCTGGAGGACCAACAGGCTGCGCACGTGATGGACAAGATGAGCCAGGAGGGAGTGTTGCTTAGAGGAAGCCAGGCCTGCTGGCTCCTGAGAAAGACCCTGGTCTCTCCCTGCCCGTCCCCTCACATCCCTGCACCTGTTCCCCTGTCCCCTAGGGTGCTCCCCCTTCCCCCTACAGGCCTTTTGTCTTCATATTTCTTGGCACCTTTCAGGAAATGCTCCTGCTATTTCCCAGAGGGATAACTGAGGTGACCATGACATCCCCATAGAATGGAGCTAAAGCCTAGGAGTTGGGTTTTCTTGTCACTATTTGTCCTTGTAGTCCTCCTGCTTTGGGAACAATTTGGTTTCTCCTCACTTTCTCCACACCTCCCCCCTAACCCTCTCCCTAACCCCATCAAATGTGTCCACAGAGCAACCCTAGGAAGGAGACCTGGCAAAGCCTCCCCCAGGACTCTGTGCGCACGTGGAGGGGGAGGGGTGGCAGGGGACCTTCTCCGGGTGGATTTTGCAGGAGGCAGAGGCAGTGTCCCTTTTCCCTGGATTCCCACCCTCTTTCTTCGTCAGGTGCCGGCCAGGGTCAAGGAGACAATGAGGAGCCGTGCAGGTGCTGAGATCTGACCTTGGCTGAGGCAAACCCTCATACAGACTATTGGCTTAGAAATTGCGCACTTGGGGCCCCATTTTCTTGCATTTCTCTCACCTTCCAGTATCCCACATGCAGGGCAGGTTCCTGTTGGCTCCCCAGAGCCCCTCATTCGGGGCCCCACAGGCCCACCTCTTCTGGGCAGCTCCCGACTCTCGACCCTTCTCAGTCCTTGGCCGACATTAGACCCCACCCATCCTGTGTCACCTGCTTTTACAACCCAGCTCCCTCTCTCGCGTAAATGAGTGCAGAGGTTACCCTTCTGAGACAATGCCTTTGACTTCTGGCAGGAATCTCTGCAGACAAAATGCTCTAGTGATGAGAATTTCAGTCTGCGGGAGTATCTGGGAATTTCCTGAGTGGGAAGGGCGGGGACACTTTCCTTTTAACAGCTTTCAAACCAGGGCAAGAGAGCTGAGAGATTCAGGTTCTAACATCCACTTTGAACTGTTTTCTTTCCCAGCCAGGCTCAGGGGGGTGCCCCACACCCATAACACCTCCAGGCCCGCTTTGCTGAGGCTGTCAGATTACCTCCTGGCCAACTACGAGAAGGGCGTGCGACCCGTACGGGACTGGAGGAAGCCAACCACCGTATCCATTGATGTCATCGTCTATGCCATCCTCAGCGTGGTGAGAGCTCAGCCCCAATCTGCTGGGCTCAGAGGTGGGCCTTTTGGGGTGGGAGACCATGTGAGACCAAGTCACCCCCTGGGCAGCACAGTGGGCATTCAAGTACCCACAGTACCTGTAGTCTGGCACCATGGCTCAGGGCAGACTACAGCACCCACCATCCACATAGACACCCACACCAGAAAACTAGGGTCACCTGTGTGGCTGCCTCTCCTGCATCCCTGCAGCCAGCAGGTCCTTCATTACAGGAGTTTCTTCACACACTGTATCGTGGTAACCATCTCCCTATGTAAGCTGTGTGAGGGTTCAGACTGTCCTAGTCACCTCCATGCCCTTGGTGTCTTACACAGGTCCTGGGACACGGCTGGTATTACTAAATGGTGGAAGAATTAATCATAAATCAATTAATTAATCAATTCCTTCATCAATTACTGTGGCAGGGGGCTGCAATGCCCAGCAGAGGAGGTCAGACACTGTGCAGAGACAAACAAGAAGATAATTGCAGAGATGCAGGGCACTGTGTTGGGGCAGGGTGCATGGGAACAGACTTTGCAGTCGCTACTGTGGTCAGCGTGGCTATTTCAGGAAGGGAAAGTGGGGATTGGATGGGAGCGAGGGAGAGTGATGAATTTCTCACTCTATGTCGTTTTGTACCTCTTGACTTCATACTAGGGCAGGAGATAGAAATAGATGTACAGATGTATATACAATATAGAAAAATAGAAAGATACATATGATATTGTTATATAAACTTTCTATTATCTCCTATTTTATTAGGTATATTATATATTTAAAATATACATAACATAATAGACGTATATAATATGCATAACATAACAGAAGGTAATAGAAAGTACATATAATTATACACACACACACATACACACATAGGAATTTAAGAAAGAAATCACTGTATTTCTTTCTAAGTGAGTCCTGGTAAGAGACCACTTTTCCTGGCTGGCCCTCTCCCCACCCTTTTCCTTCACTCCGCTTCCCGAGGGAACAGGGACACAAAGCAGCAGCTCCTTTTAGGGTTGGCATGTGCACGGGGACCCCCAGCCCCAGGGCCACCTTCGCTGAGCTCCCTTTCCTTTCATAGGATGAGAAGAATCAGGTGCTGACCACCTACATCTGGTACCGACAGGTGAGCAGACCAGCCCCTTGCCCACCCCACATCCTGGGACGGGGACTTACGCTTCTGGGAAGGGTTTCTCCATCTCAGGGGAGTCAGGAACCTCAGAGGCTGTGGAGAGGGAAGGGGAGGGGAGGGCTCCAGAGGCATACTCATGAGTTCCGGGCGCGGGGACTCCTCTAAGCTCAGGACTGGGAATGGAAGGAAGCCTGGGGTCCGTGGAAGGGAAATCCTCCAAACCCCTCTGGTTTCTGAGGTTTCTCCCAGAATCTTGTTCAACTTCTATTGATCAAACGCCTCCAGTGACGGGGAGCTCCGAAGGCAGCCACTTCACTTTTAAACAGCTCTAATTGCTAGAAAGTTCTTCCTTCTGTTAAGCCAGGTTGGACAAAATCAAATTGGGCATTTGAAACAGGACGACCCCACCCGCTTAGCCCTCACATCCTTGGCCATTTCCCCACTCTTCCAGCTTCTAATGGGCGTTGGTCAGGCACTGAATGTGGAAGCTCTGAGGCCTTGGCAGCACTTCTGGTCTGGGCTGGTAGGGGAGGGCAGCACACAGTGGGGGCTGCTGTCCACAGGCTGGTCACGCTCTGGCAGCCCCTGAGGCTGTGGGGAAGACATCAGAGCAGAAGGGGAAACCAAAGTGGCTGAGGAGAGGGGAGCAGGAGGATGGGGACAGTGCATAGACGTCAAACCTGAGAGATGCTCTGGGGACATGCCTGGAATATATGAGTCTCTGTAAAGTCCCTCCCCGCTCCTCCTGGGCACACTCCACCACCACCCTCAGCTCACAGGACAGGGAGTGGGGTGAAGGAAGAAGCCAGAATGCTGATCCCTGACACACCACTCCCTTCCTTCCTTAGAGTGTCCCTTAATACGGAGCATACCCCGCCTCAAGGGAGGGGAGCCAAGGAACAAGTAGCCTGGAGCTCCTTTCCTGGGACATCTGGCCTGGTCCCATCTTTGGACCTCTGGGGTCACTTGTCTGCTCCCCGCAGTGAGGGGATGCCAATCTACTATGTACCAGCCACTGTGCTAAAGAACCAGAATTAGAAACACAAACTAGACCCAGGCCCTGCCTACAAGGAGCTCACAGACTGGCAGAGGCCACAGACACCTGAATAAACAATTAAATGCAGCAAGACAGCCACTCAAGGCAGCAAGGACGACATGCCAACCGTGGGAGCAGAGAAGAGGCACATAAAAACCCAGCCTGGGGATGGGAGTCACAGAAGCTTCCTGGGGAAAGGAACAGACAGAGGCCTTGGTTAAGTCTGGAAGGATGAGGCATTCCTTGGTAAGGAAGATGGGGATTGTAGTGTGGGAGAGGAAGAAGGGCATGATGTGGACTGTTTCGTTCCATGTGGCTGGAGAATTCTAATTCTTTTTTTCGCATGACAACAAAAAAATGAGGCTAGAGAGGGAGGTGGAGACCTTTGTCGGCCAGGAGGTTTAACTTTATCCGGAGTACAAGGGGGCGCCACTGAAGAATGTTCAGCAAGCGAGTGACATGAGCAAATTTACATTTTAGATCAGTCATTCTGGCAGCACAGTGGAGAGTGCATTGGTCAAAATTTAACAATAAGTGTCTCTACCCTGGTGAGGTACGTGTCATTATCCCCGCCTACGTATGTGCAGACCAAGACTCAAGAAGCTATTTGCTAAGATGCCTCAGTTGGTAGATAGGGGATTCAAAACATTAGAAATCCCCCAATGAATGCTTTCCCCCGGAGAGGCTGCACCTGTCTGCGTCATATTGCATGTAGGAGTATGTGAGTACAGAGGCGGGGGTACTGTCAGGTATTGCTGAGCAATCTGGGTGCCACCTAGATTCCCCCAAGAAAATGCCCGCCTGTTGCCTGGGCACTGAGCAGTGGAGTCAGCCTGAGTTGCCAACAACCCCCCCCGAGATAGAGGGGCTGCCTGTGACCCTTCCTGCTCCTCCTCTAGTACTGGACTGATGAGTTTCTCCAGTGGAACCCTGAGGACTTTGACAACATCACCCAGTTGTCCATCCCCACGGACAGCATCTGGGTCCCGGACATTCTCATCAACGAGTTGTGAGTACTGTCCTCAGAGGCTGGGCTGCCAGGTGGCTGAGGGGCTGGGAAGGCAGGGGGCAGGGAGACAGGGTCATTGCTCTTGCATTTGAGAGGTCCCACCCTCTCTTTGCAGAACTGTCTGCAAAGTTGGCTTGGGCCCAAATTCCCCTTTGCTCCCCCCTCCCTTTTTCTTTTTTAAAACTCCTCTTTTCTATGCCTGATGTTGAAGGTCTGTACTTTTTCAAGGCCCCTTTTCTGGGGAGAGGAAGCCAGGGAATGAATTCACCCTGTTATAACAGCCAAAAAGGACAGCTGCCTTTTAAGGGGGACAGGACTGTTACTGAAAGGAATGAAGGCCCAGCAGTGGCCACTGCTCCTGGTCACAGTGGAGATTTGGTGCTGAGAGACACTCACACCTCTCAAGTCACACATGTGCCTGACTGGCCACAAATTACACCCTCAATATGAAGTGTGTCCCCCCAGCCTTTACTCTCAGCAGCCAGACCCTGTCTTATTTGGCCCCAGCCAACATACCTTCTCCCCATCCTTCAGGTCCCTTCAGGCTCACTGCCTGGGCTTTTGCATGCCAGGGTGGGCAGGATGGCTGGGAGAAAGATGGAAGGAGAAGGTGGCCTGGGGCCGGTCGCCCTCTGCCCAGTACCCACTGCATTGCCTGACTCCAGAGGATGCTGTTGTTTATGGGGAGGAAATTGACCTAGAGCCCCACGCCCTGCATAGCTCGGGATGGAGGAATTTGGGGAAATTTCCATTTCTGGCTGGATCTCCAGTTAAACAGTGAAGTAGCCTTAGTCTTGACTTCTCATCTCTCAGCCTGATTCCACAGAAGGCTGCAGGCTCAGGACCCCGGGCTATGGCCACTCCAAGCCACAGTGGTCACTAGAGAGAGTCTAGGGGTCTGGGATCTGCTGAGAGCGTGGGACGAGGTCTTGCCGGACTTTCCTAGCTTGACCCAGTTCTTCTCAATGATTTCTCTAGTTCCTTTTCCTCCACAGATGATTATTCCCATTTCACAGGACTTCTAGGGGTGGGGAGCAAAGAGAAGCCTGAGTCAGGATGGAACCCAAGGTTCTGCTCTTCCGCCAAGCCTGCCCATTGCCACTGGGCCAATAATCCTGGGAGCTGAGCTCTGCCCAGCCTGGGTGGGCGGCAGTGTAGGGACAGCTGGGCAAGCTCCTTACAGCCAGTGGATTTGGGGTACACGGAGTCCTTGCCTGCCTTTTGTGGTTAGGTTACCAGGGGAATTGAGGAGAAATGCCCTCTACTGCTTGGAAAGCAGCCTTGACAATGGCGGGTAAGGAAGTCTAAGATAGACAAGAAGGTTGGAAAAGCTGAGGCCAGATGAAACGGTGCAGGTTATCCTGGTGCCTAGCCCCTCCCTGAATTTCTCTCCCTGCCGAGTTGCTCAGAGACCTTCAGACTCCCAGGGTTTGACCTGCTTCTTGAGCCTCCAAGCTGATCCCTCTTCCCTGGCCAGTGTGGATGTGGGGAAGTCTCCAAATATCCCGTACGTGTATGTCCGGCATTGCGGTGAGGTCCAGAACTACAAGCCCCTCCAGGTGGTGACCGCCTGCAGCCTTGACATCTACAACTTCCCCTTCGATGTACAGAACTGCTCCCTGACCTTCACCAGCTGGCTGCACACCAGTGAGTATATGAGCTTTGGGAGGGTAGGGGGCACAGATTGAGGGGTCCCTCGGACACCTGAGTGACCTCGGACACCAGGATGCATTCTCCCTTATTCAACTTTCTTATCACTTATTTTCTTAATGCCGCTGAGCCTGTTTCCTCATCCTCCAAATGGGACTAATATTGTTGCCCTTGTCACCTCCCTCAATTGTCATAAGGATTGAATGAGACAGTATGAACTGACAGAGAGACGCTCAGTAGGACCAGTTCTTTCCTATATCACAGACAGGGTCTGGCCGTAAGTGTCTCTCAGACCCACCTGCCTCTCTTCTCTACCGATGTGCCCTCCCCTCTGCGGCCAGCTATCCTCGTCTCCTGCCCGGATTTCTGCAGGAGCCTCCCGACTGGTCCCCCTCAGTCATTCTCGTCCTCCTCCAAGTCATGATCCTCACAGCAACCAGGGAGATCTTAGTAAAATGCAAATCTGATCACGTCACTCTCTGCTTAAACCCTCAATGGCTTCCCAGCACTCCTGAGACAGAATCCAAGTCCTTCACCTGGCAGATAGGGAGGGCCCTGCAAACTGTGGCCCTGCCCACGGCCCTGCCAGTCCAGCCTCATCTCGTGCATGCTCCCCTGGGCTCTGCTCCAGCCCAGTTGCCTTCCTTCCCAGGCCCCAAAGCCCCTTTATCTTTCCTTTTATCACATGCTGCCTCCTCTCCTAGGCCACCTTGCCCCCTCCCCCTCGCGCTGCCCCACTTCCTTTCCCACGCTACTCCTGCCCCAGCCACACCTAGCTCGGCCGACTCCTCCACTCACCTTCTAATCACAGCATCAGCATCAGTTCCTCGTGGAGAACTCTTCTCATCCCCCAGACTAGGCATCCTCGTTGCTCAATTTCATGTCATCCTGTTCTTCTCCCCATTCTATTGCACTGGTAAGTACTTATTCAATGTCTGCTTCTCTTCCAGACATAAACTTAGAGAGGTAGGAATATGATTTCTGGCCCACCATCAGATCGCCAGTGCAGTGTCTGGCTCAAGGGAAGGTGCTCGGCAAACTTTTATTGAGCGGATGAATGCTGGCTGCTCATGAAGGTCCAGTGAAGTGAGCATCACCCGCCCGCAAAAAGGCATCCTCCATTTCTATTCTGATTTTATTGTATTAACTGTTCATGACAAAGGTAATACATAACTTCCTTGAACAAGAATCAGAATTACAAATAATCTTTGACCTTTGACTTCTACCCCCAATCCCCAACTGTTCATCAACAACTCCCCACACCAAGACTTAATAGCTTTTATCATACACTTCATATAGCGTGTTCTTCCAGAGCCTTCTGTCCTTTGCATATACACACACACATCTATGGAAAACACGTGGAAATTATTTTATAGGTTTTTATTTACACAAATGTATCATTTATGCTACTGCTTTTTGGCTCTTTTTAGTCAACAACCAATCTTGGACATTCCTAGTTAGTGCATATTTAGATCTTCCTCATGAATTCTGACTGCTGGAGAAGAGCTCATCGTTTGGCTTAATAAAACTTCATTAAGCCTTTTCCCAATGGGTGGACATTTAGATCTTTCCTAATATTTCACGGTACCTGCAGACCCCTGTCCTCCTGGCGCGTGTGTATATCTGTCTCTCTAGCATAGACACAGAAAGTAAAACTGCTATGTTGTAAGTGAGGATTTTGCTGATTTTCCTAATTCATCTTTAAAGACAAGTGTCTCTATGAAGGCAAAGGTGTAGAATGTTGACTTTTGTTCATTTCCTAAGTGGGTAATTCTAGCAGGGAACTCTAGAAAGATGTTTGTAAGGGGGGTATGTGTGTCTGTGTGTGTAAGAGAAAGAGAGAGAGGGCTTTCTAATAAATGGTTTGTCTGGTTCTCTGCATTTTGCCATGTTTCCATCCAAGACTTCATTTCGCTCACCACAGCCCATTGTACCGATAGGGACAGAGTACACTATTACCTCACTTTATAGCTGAGGAAACCGAGGCTGAAGATCGAGAGCTGAGATGAGCTAAGTCATGTGGGCGCAGCCCACTCCATGGCCCCCATCACGGAGTCTGGCACACCCCTGGCACTAGACTCCAGGGCTGGCTTGATCTCTCCTCTCTCAGTCCAGGATATCAACATCACCCTGCTGCGCTTACCAGAAAAAGTGAAGTTCGACAAGAGCGTCTTCATGAACCAGGGCGAGTGGGAGCTCCTGGAGGTGCTGCCTCAGTTTCAGAAGTTCAGTCTCGAAAGCAGCAACTATTACGCAGAAATGAAGTTCTACGTGAGTGGAACGGGGAGTGGGTGTGGGTACATGACGGACAGAACTACCAGGTCCTCGCTCCTGGGGAGACTTAAGGAGGCCTGTGAGGAAGAGCCCTTTTCCCAACTCCAGGGTCACACTCACCCCTTGGAGCTTCAACAGAATAGATGGGGAAACCCAGCTGAATTGTCCCTTGCTTACGCGGAACAGGCACAAGCCTGGATCCAGAGACAGAATGTAGGCTCTGTCCATTTCCTTCTCTGAGTGATCCAGGCTAAAAGCTCCATGAAGCAGGGGGTCTGGGATGGGGTGGTGGCTCCTGGGTGCAGAACCTGTCTGCCGCAGGCTCCCTGTGAGCTCCTCTCCTGGTCTCAGGTGGTCATCCGTCGGCGGCCCCTGTTCTATGCGGTCAGCCTGCTGTTGCCCAGTATCTTCCTCATGGTCATGGACATCGTGGGCTTCTACCTGCCCCCGGACAGTGGCGAGAGGGTCTCCTTCAAGATCACACTCCTCCTGGGCTACTCAGTCTTCCTGATCATTGTGTCCGACACTCTGCCAGCCACCGCCATCGGCACTCCCCTCATTGGTAAGGCCCACTCCTGGGGAAGAGCTCAGTGTGGCTGAGGAACGAAGGGACCGCCCCTTCCCACTTCCTCTGTGTGTCCCCCCCTCCTTCCCTGGGGTGCGCAGGTGTCTACTTCATCGTGTGCATGGCTCTGCTGGTGATAAGCTTGGCTGAGACCATCTTGATCGTGCGGCTGGTACACAAGCAAGACCTGCAGCAGCCCGTGCCAGCCTGGCTGCAGCACCTGGTTCTGGAGAGAGTCACCTTGCTCCTTTGCCTAGGGGAGCAGTTAACCTCTCAAAGGCCCACCACCACCTCCCAAGCCACTAAGACTCATGACTGCTCAGGTGAGAGAGGGAAAGGCAGAGTCCCACACGAAGGGGCCCCTTCTGGCCTGGAAGCAGGGATGTGGTGGAGGGTCTCTGAAGGGCGTGCCATGCCCGGGAATTGGGTGCTGTCCTGCACACAGTGTTCCATGCCTGGCCTCGTTGGGAGGGGGCAGACTTCAGCCAAAGGCACCGATTGGACTGTTTCTTCACGTTCACATCCTCTCATCAGCCCGGGTGTGGATGGAGAAGAGGTAGGAGTCCCAGAGGCTGAGCATGTCAGGAGCTGAGACCTCTGAGCTGAGAGTGGCCTCTCTCTGAGATGGACCCAAAAGTGGGTCAAATGGATGCCCCTCGGGCAGTTACTGGACTCTTTGCTTCGCCTGCTTAAATACTGCAGCCAGGATTTCTAAAACTCTCTTTCTAATGAGCTCAAAGACCCCGGCCCTTAGACTTCAAACACTTATGAGGCAGAGAGACAGGGGTACAGAGGGACCCTCAGTGTGGAGCTTACACCCCTGGGGAGCTGTTGCGGCCACGTTGGTTGGGGTCGGGGGGGCGTTGGTTGGTTTCTTGAGTGCTTTGGGCAGGCTCCTGCAAAGCACTTTCTGTGCCTTCTCACAGGTAGTCCTCACAGCGACCCAATAGGATGCTCATTCTCAGTTTCGAAATGGAGGACACAGGCCTAGAGAGGCCAGAGATCCTGCCCTAAGTCACAGAGCCAGGAAGTGGGAAACTGTGATTTGCATCCAGCCAGGCCCACCTGCCTCTAAACTAGCATTTTAACCCTTTCATCCCACTCCACTGCTTTCTGTCCTCCCTCTGGCTAAGGCCAGGCCTTCTATAGGAGATGTTTGGTTAATCTAAGACCTTCCCATCATGAGCTCCTGAGCTAGTACACCAGCCTCAAGCCTAATTTCACTGCTCACCTGGTCAAGGCAGCCACATCTGCAGGTGTATTTTCTGGTACAGGACCTGGAGTCATGGAGAGGAGGGCAGTAAGGCATTGTGACACAGCAGAGAGAGCAGTGGATTCAAAGTCCAGATACCTAGGCCCAGGTGGCCTCACTATTAAACGATGCGCCAGCTGTGGGACTACAGGGTAGTCACTTAACCTCTCTGAGCTTTAGCACCTTCATATAAAAAGTACAGAGAGTAATCACTCCCACTCTACCTTTCTTGTGGGGGCTATTGTGAGACTCAAATGAAATAGTGGATATCAAATTGTTGGGGAAAGCCCATGGGTTAAAAAAAAATACATGGGAAGGATAAACACCAAATTCATGATCTTGGTGACCTGGGGAGGGGACAGAGGATGTGACTAAGGATGGGTATACAGGAATCTTCAACTGTATTGGCTCCCTTTATTTGCTTAAGTTGGCAGGTGGGTATGCAAATACGTAAGTTATTCTCTATACTCTTTATGTCTGAAATTGTGCCTAATAAAAATTTCTGCAGACCACGGAAACATAAGGGACAGCATTCAGCCACTTGGCTGAGCCTCCCTCCCTTGCAAATGTTCTGCCCTTCTTCCAGAGGTGGGAAACCACTGCAGCCATTTGGGAGGACCCCAGGACTGTGAGAAGACCCCAAGGGGCAGAGGCAGCCCTCCGCCACCGCCGCGGGAGGCCTCCCTGGCTGCGCGTGGGCTGCTGCAGGAGCTGGCCTCCATCCGGCACTTCCTGGAGAAGCGAGATGAGAGCCGAGAGGTGGCCCGGGACTGGCTGCATGTGGGCTCCGTGCTGGACAGGCTGCTCTTCCGCATCTACCTGCTGGCGATGCTGGCCTACAGCGTCACCCTGGTCACGCTCTGGTCCATCTGGCGGTATTCCTGAGTGGCTACAGCCCAGCATGGGCGGGGCGAATGGCGCTGGTTAGGATGGGGATGGGGGAATTTCAGGGCCCAGGGGATGCCAGGGACGTTCTCGAAACACATAAACGGTTCCATCTCTGGTTCCATTGCTAGTTCATCTCAGCAATCCTGAACCGGGGGCTTAACCCTTCCCCAAAAACCTTGGTGTTCAAGATCCTTACATCCTCCCTCCCTCCCCCACCTGCTCATCATGGCTTTAAAACATGCTGTCTTAGATCAGAAGAAACCCATGCATCTCCTAACTTCAACTCTATTTATGTATCAGGTTTCAATTTCCCTATTGGCACTTCCCTGAATAAGGCACTTTGGAATTCTGCTCATCTCCCTCAGCCTTGTTTTTAGATTGAAGGCAAACAACGCTGCTGCACAGGCCCGATAACTCTGCGTCAGGTTTATCCGACCTTAAGGGCACCTTCTTCACCTCACCTGTGGCCACTTCCCTGAATTGCTCCATCAGATGGTGGGGGTGGGGGTGGGCAGGGGAAATAAAATACGGTGAAGCTCTAAACTCTCTTCTTGACTGTTTGTCAGCAGCTGGGTGGGTAGAAGAAGAGGTTTAAAGTTACTGGTGGAAATGAGATTGGGGAATTATCTGTGATTTCAGTTGTTCAATGCTCCCTGCCTCAGGGAATTGGGAGGTGATCAGATAGTGGCTATTAGGAAGAAGAAACAAGAGGAGGTGGAATTTAAGGTGCGAGGGTCAGGACCATGAAAGCTTAGCAGTGGAGAGGTAGGGAGGGGGAAGCTCAGTTCTGTGACCTCTAGGAAGATGCTGGAAGTGTCCTTGCAGTCCTGTTATCATTCTGGGCTCCTGGTCTCTCCGCGAAGCTGGGAGCAAGCTCTCTCCCTGCAAGAGGATCCAGCTAAGGAGACAGGAACATCAGCACCATGGCCAGCACCAGCCGGTTTGGTGTTTGGAAGACAGGGAAAGCCAAGGCTTTTTATCTATCCCCTTTGGGAACTCTTGGCAGCCAGCCACTGGCACGTGCACCAGAAGGAGGACCATGAGGCAGACAGAATTGGGGACATGGCCTTTGATCTAACTTCTCATATCCTGGCCCCCTCTCCCAGTCATTAGGGTTTAAGATGTGCTGAGAAGCACCCCAACTCTATCACTCTACCCACCTAACAAGCATTCAGAGGAAAGGATGGCAGAACCCACCAAGAGTAACCTGTGTTAGTGTCTGCTACATTTGCCTGGGGCTTTGGTCCTCCCTTTCTCATTCCAGCCTTATCCCTCTCCCTGTCATGGGCTGCCTGTCACTCAGAGGAAGCCACAGTGGACAGAGACTGAACATTGCCAGGCTAAAGGGAAAGGACGCAAAAGGAGTATCTGGGACAAGTTGCTCCAGGCTTGCCAATTATAAAGCGTTCAGCATAGAACACCTGACACTGTACCTTCCCTTGACCCCAAACTCTGGAGTTCTAGTTCACAGACTGTCCCAGGAGGCTGAGTGGAGGGTAGACCTTGGGCCCTTGGGAGCTTCATGTCTGAAAGAGCCTAGAGGCTGAGGAAGGGTACTTGTCTGGTGTAGCTTCTATCAGCTTCTCCTCACCCCAACTTCCCTAGCACGCAGCAAGAACTCAGTAAATATTGTCTAACTGGCTGCTGGTTCCTAAGATGAACTAGGAGTGAGGTTTCATCTGTTGCCTCCACCCCAGACATATGTGCTTTTGCTATTGGTTAGGGATTCTATATTTATCTTGTTTTGTTGATGGGTAGGTATTAGGGTCTCCCAGCAAAAAGCAGGAGATTGTGGGGCTGGAGACTGGTCCCATTCACAGCTGTAGCCTCCTGGTGAGCAGAGATTGGGCTAAAGATGGAGACTGTTTATCTCTACTCTCTCAGGATGGTCCCAACAGCCCATACTTTGGAGCCTGGTCTTAGGTCCAAAAGCTACCCCACTCCACTCGGATTTACTGGGGCCACTCATACTACTAGAAGATTCTCATGTCTCAGGCCAGAGAGAGAGAAAGGTGGACAGTGTGGCACTGCTGACGCACCACTAGTGAGTAAGTGGGTGGCTATTGACAAAGCATCCAACTAGAGAGCTAGTAAGACACTAATCAACCTATTGATTCCCCATCTCCCCTCCCCACCCTCCGCCGACAATCAATGCGGCAACAGAGCCCAGAAGTGAGGCAGCCAATTAACTACCTCAGGAATTAGCCGCCACGTGTAACATCTTCTGGTCCAACAGCCACAGCCAATCAGCTCATCGATCCAGCATCCAGGCTGTGCTGCCCAGGGGTGGGAAACTGAGGCCCAGGGCCGGAGAATCCCCCAGTGGACTAACTCTCATCCGTCAATATTGGTCTTGGTCTTCTCCCAAGGAGACCTTTACCCTGTCTAGGATGTGAGAACACCCAGAATCTCTCTCCCTGCTGTTATATCCTTCTCTCCTCCCACTGCTTCAGTTCATCCCCTCCCCTCTGTCCCAAGCAGAGAGAGAACCAGAAACCACCCATGTCTTCATCTGAGCTTCCGAGAAGCTTGCCGGCTCTCCGCTCATCTCCACTCCTCTCCCTCAGCCTTCTCTGGTCACCCACGATTACTCCCAGTCTTCACCTCCTTTTCCCATCCACCCTGCTTTCCAAACCTGTCATTTCTACTCAAAAGATTCCATTAAAGGTCTTGAAAGTGCCAGGCTGAAGCCCCACAGCCCTCTGCAGTGCTCCAAGCTGTGGAGCCCGTGGCCACCATCCTGGGAGATGCCAGCCTGCACATAGCGACCTCAGGGCCCCTCGCAGGAGTAGACACTCCACTGCTTTCGGAATGCTCCAGGGAGAGTAATTGAGCTCAGAGTCAGGATACCGGCTTAGGGGAGATTTCCCTGAGAGACCAGGAGGGAGGAAAAGTTGCCTGTGGGGTGAAGGTGGGGGAGGTGTGGTTCAGCGTTCCGGAGCCAGATCCCCTCCCTCCCCCATCTCCCTCCAGCCTCTGAATCAATACGTTTTGAATCTAATCTAATAACAGAGATTTAACGAGGCGATAATGCCTGTGGAGCGGCCAGCGCTTTGTCTCTCCTTTCAGGCGGCAGCTGGGGCCCATTATCAGGGACAATGCCCCATGCTAATCACTCCCTCTCTCCTCCGAGTGTTTGGGGAGGGGTGGTGGCAAGAGAGGGCAGCTCCTCCCATGATTGGAGGGGAGTGGATGGATGGAAGAGGCGGGAAGATGTCAAGAAGGGTCTGGACGGGCCCCACACAATTGTCTTGACCTGACACCAATTCGCTGGCCTTCTCCCCCGGCCCACACTGTCTGCCCTGACCATCAGGCTCAGGAGCCCTAACAGCGCACACCAACAGCAGATAATTAACCATCAGCTGCAGTACCAGTGGCTGGGAGTTGGGTGGGTTTTGTTGGGGTTTTTTCTCGTCTTTTCTCTAACTTGGTCCTCTATAATTTAAGCTCTTCCATTAAGGCCTGTGATTGGCCAGCCCTGACTGTCATGGTTAGAGAATTAAACCCTGGTTTTAGAGACGAGAAGCATGCTCCACATCCTCTCTCTCTTCTATCTGAGACCTTATAAACGGGCTTGACCTGCAGGAAGAGGTATAGACGTTAGACTGCGGGAAGAACTTCCTGACAGTCATATTCCTGACATGAATTAGATGGGGAGTCTGAAAGGGAAGGAATGGAATCTCATTGCCTAGAAGGCTTTAAAGAGAGACCTTCATCCAGGCTGGAAGGGGCAGACCTGGGAGGAGAGTCTGCCTCAATCTCCACTATCAGAACTTGAGTCGGGAGGGAGCCCAGAGCTGGGACTCCTGAAGCTCGGCCACTCCCATTCCTTTTTGCAACCCATTTACCAGGGACAATACGAGTGCCACACAGAGTGGGCTGCCCCAGATTCGAATTTTGTCCCTATCACCTGCTAGCTGTGAAACCTTGGACAAGTACTTAACTCCTCTGTGCCTCAATCTTCTCATCTGGAAAATGGGGATCATATTCATACCCGTCTCATAGATGTTGTGGGGCACCATGCTCTCAACATGGGGCAAAAGCCCAGGGAAGTCAGAAGGCTGGAGTAGAGAGATGTCTAGTGGCATATCAGTGCCCCCTCGGTCTGCTCACATTACGTTCTGAATGGGTCTACATCCTATACCTCTGTGTCCTTTTTTCTCCCCTTGCTACTCCCTCTACCTCGCCCCTGCACATTCCCGAGCTCCTTTGCACAGAGCTCCTGACTAAAACCACAGCTTTGAGCTCCTCCCTTGGGAAAGCGTATGAATCGTAAGCACAACTTGGGTGGACTCTCCTGATGCCTGGCTGGGTCTCTCCTATTCAATTCCCCCTCCTCTGTCCCTGTCTGCAAAGAGAACTAACCTCTCAGCAGAGGGACACATCATGAGTATGACAGCAAGGACTACGGGAGCCTAAGAATTCACTTCTATGTCCCTGGGAGAACCCCACTCTCAAGACTCAGAAAAAAGTACTCTCCTAAGGCCCAGAATGAGGTGCCGATCTTTGGCCAAGGGCAGCCACAACCCTATCCTTCTAAATTCTTTCCACAAGGTGGCAGCAAAGTCCAGAAATTCTATGGAGAGGCCTTCATGAAACATTATTTGCCCCCTTCTCTCTCCCCTCCTCCCAAAAATGTCTGCATCCCTTTCTAGAGGCCTCTGAAGCCCCCTTCTTTCAAAGCCAGCTCTTCCCTTTTGGCAAGCACTGAGGATCCTGTTCCAGAGAGCTTGGAGCCCTGTTCGGATGCTCTGGGGAGAGGCTAGCCCACCGCCCCGTGCCATCACACAATTGTGCCCACACTGATCCCTGAGAAACTGCCCCTCTTGCTTCTGTGCTCAGGCCTGGACCCCACACTAAGTCACACACTTAGCTGCTTTTCCCCTTTCTGCTTAGATGATGAAGATATTGATGCCTGATGGTAAAAAAGCTGTTTCACTCAAAACCCAGACATATACAGGTCCACAGAGGACTCTGCTTTTCTCTTCTGCCCATGT